AAAGTAACTTTTTGGTGGGCGGTTTGTAGCAGTGGGTCCCACGTGAATGATGATAAATCTCGGGGGTTGTGATGGGTGTGTAGACGCCTTGTCACCTGCTTTAGGAGGTGAAACCTTGGTTCGTTCTTAGGAGGTAGGACCTCGGTTTTAGTAGACCTCGGTAGGTATCGGCCACTTCGGTCTTCGGTAGTTTGGACTGGTTCATTGCGTGGGCCAGCGCGGCTTTGGATCACGTCGGTTCAATAGTTAATGTCACTTAACAATGATGCTTAAAACTTCTTAATGATGTTTTGCCGAGTTGGATGATAACAGAGAGGCCCTCAACATCGGCGATCATACAGGGTGATGGTTGTAGATGTTGTAAAAGGTGGGTTGGGATCCGACTTGGCCACAGTGTATGAGGAACTCGCTCGTGTTAAGATACGTGTGACGAGCAAATTTCCGAAGTGAATCAGCTTTACCGAAGAGGGTGTTAATTTCCGGGGTGAAAACACTTGGTGAAAATCTGTTGTCGTCTGGGAAGTGGAAGAAGAAATCTGAACAGTCGTAACGGTCGACATATTAATTTCAGAGTGAACAGTCGCTCTGTTATCATCCAACTCGGCAAAACATCATTAAGAAGTTTTAAGCATCATTTTTAAGTGACATTAACTATTGAACCGACGTGATCCAAAGCCGCGCTGGCCCACGCAATGAATCGGTCCAAACTACCAAAGACCGAAGTGGCCGATACCTACCGAGGTCTACTAAAACCGAGGTCTTACCTCCTAAGAACGAACCGAGGTCTCACCTCCTAAAGCAGGTGACAAGGCGTCTACACACCCATCACAACCCCCGAGATTTATCATCATTCACATGGGACCCACTGCTACAAAACGCCCACCAAAAAGTTACTTTATATGAAAAATAATACACGAATCCCAAGGTGTATATCGAAAAAGCTACTATAAATAGCAAGCCTATGACATTTGTACGGGGATCCCGAACTCATTAATATGCAACACGTAAAAGCCCATAACGGCTCTTCACCTCGGTTCACCTCGGACCGGGGCCATTGTTGAGTTCTTTTTGACATGCTTTACGTCCAAACCGTTCGTAATTATCAACTTAATCACTTGTTACATCGTTGTTACAAATCGCATAACAACAGTTTGGCGCTAGAGGAACGGCCTCATAAGTAATTTGAGGTTACTTTCCGCTTTCACGTGTAACGATTCACACCAGCCATATTCATCATGTCTCACTCAGATCATCGTGGTCACACCTCACGAGACGGCCACAGTCGCAGCGCCGCGCACTCTGCCAGACGACAAGCCGCGGCCCCACCTATACCAGATTATGCTGTTCTGTTTCAAAATCCAGAGTTTGCTCGTGGTTTTGCCGCTCTAATGGCCCAAACGATTCCGGGAACATCAACGACTGTTCCGGGACACTCCATCATTCCCACGACTCCTGTAACCAGCAGAATCCACCGGCGCGACAAGA